AACCAATACTGATTAACTTTTAGGAATATAAATAATATATATATATATATATATATATATATATATATATATATATATATACAGAAAGAGAGAGAGAGAGAAAAGAAAAGCCTCTTGAACAAGGCAGGAATAGCTAGAGAGGAACAATGGGGCTATTAAGAGGTTTTGTTTTCCTCTTAGTTCCATACCTGCTGCACAGGTCAAATAGTTCCTTCATTAGGCTGAATAACAATGGTTTTGAAGATATTATCATTGTTATAGATCCTAGTGTGCCAGAAGATGAGAAAATAATTGAACGAATACAGGTAAGAACAAAATGGAATATCTTTCATTAATTTTTAGCTTTTTACTATTATTTTTAATTTACATAGAATTGCACGTATTTATGGCATACGAAGTAATATTTCTATACATGTATACAATTTGTAAAGATCAAATCAGATTAATTAGCATATTCATCAATGCAAACATTTATCTTTGCTTTGTGTTGGGAACATTATAATTACTCTCTTCTAGCTATTTTGAAATACATGACAGATTATCAGTAACTTTAATTTTCCTAATGTACTATCAAATACTAGAACTTATTCTGTCATATAACTGTACTTTTATACACATTAACCAACTTCTCTTCCTTTCCCCTCTCTCCCCTATCCTTTGTAGCCTCTGATAAGTATCATTGTACTCTCTATCTCCGTAAGATACACTGGTTTAGTTCCTACATATACGTAAGAATATCTGATATTTATCTCTCTGTGCCTGGCTTATTTCACTTAACATAATGTCCTCCATGCTCATCCATGCTGCCACAAATGAAGCAATTTCATTTTTTTTCAGTGACTAAATAGTATTTATTTGTGTTTATATACCACACTTTAACCATTCATCTGTTGATGGACACTTGGGTTGATTGCATATCTTGGCCATCATGAATAGTGCTACAATAAACATGGGAGTGCAGACATCTCTTCCATATACTGATGTCTTTTCCCTTGGATATATACCCACTAGTGGAATTGCTGAATCACGTGGTCATTCTATTTTTAGTTTTTTGAAGAACCTCCATACTGTTTTCCATAACGTCTATATTAATAATATATAATAGGTCTCTTTTCTCACATCCTTGCCAGCATTTTTTTTTGTCTTTTTTGGAATAACCATTCCAATTGGGCTGAGATGATATCCCATTCAGGTTTTGATTTGCATTTCCCTGATGATTCCTGATGTTGAGTATTTTTTTCATGTACTTGTTGGACATATGTATGTCTTCCCTTGAGAAATGCGTATTCTAGATGCTAATCCATTATTGGATAAATAGTTTGCAACTATTTTCCCCAAGAATTAGGATGTCAGCCAAGCATGGTGGCTTACGCCTATAATCCCAACACTTTGGGAGGCCGAGGCAGGCAGATCATGAGGTCAGGAATTTGAGACCAGCCTAACCAACATGGTGAAACCCCAGTCTCTACTAAAAATACAAAAAATTAGCTAGGCATTGTGGCACACACCTGTAATCCCAGCTATTCGGGAGGCTGAGGCAGGAGAGTTGCTAGAACCTGTGAGGCGGAGGTTGCAGTGAGCCAAGATCATGCCATTGCACTCCAGTCTGGGCGACAGAGCAAGACTCCGTCTCGGGGGGAAAAAAATTGGAATGTCTTCTGTTTGAATTATGGAGAAGAAAACAAAGTTAATAGTTAATAATTATTATGGAAACTGCTTAGTGCTTCAGGAAGCTAAAAGCAGCATGGCGCAGTGAGGACAGTATGGTAATGGGCAGAGGGAGATGGAGGTTTTAGATGGCCTTCTACAGGCGTTCTACATTGTCCTGCAACAAGACAGAAGACAAGGCACAGGGCCCCCTGACGCTGAGTTTCTTGATCTGTAAATTAGCAGTTTGACTAATTTGCTCTTTAAATAATTCTTTATTGAATGTTTATGACATGCTAAAGAGTAGTTAAATTTTTTAAAAGCCCCTGGCACCATGCAGTGTATATTCTTTGCAGAGATGTAGTTAATAAGTAAATGGATCACAGGTCAGTTAATAGCAGGTTGCTGTGGAGTAAAACAAATCAGGAAGTGGGATATGGAGTGTAAGGTAGGGCTGGGTTGGGGGAGAATGTGAGTTGCTATTTCACGTAGGGCAGTCAAGGAAGGCCTCACTGATGATGTGTCATCTGAGCACAGACCTGAGATGAGTGAAAGAAGAGCCCATTGAAACCTAGGTGAGAAAAACAGCATGGAGGTGAGAATTCGTTTGATGTGACTGAAGAAACAGCTCTCGATGAGCAGGAGGAAGCGGAAGCGTAGGGTGAGCCGATGTTAGAGAGGTGCCAGGGCCTAGACCCCTGGAAAAACTTAAGACTTTTACTCTGTAATGAAAATCCATAGGAGGATTCTGAGCAGAGAAGGGTGTGTTTTCATGCATGTTCTGGGATTACTGACTGCAGTACTGAAAACTGTAAAGAATTTCCACTTGTCACCCATCCTCTATAAACTTCGTGGCAGCTTACTGCTGTAGAAGGACCCAAGGTAGGAAACTCTTGCAAGTGGGCAGTGATGGTGACTAGGAACAGGTAGGTTGTGGTAAAGATTGTCTAAGTGATGTGATGGTTAAGATGTGTAGGGGATAGGTGAGGGTAGGAAGGAAATTTAAGAGTCAAGGAAGGATTCAGGAGTCTTGCTTGAACTCTTGGAAGGATGAAATTATCATCAATGGGAAGGGGAAGACTAAGTAGAGAAAATTTGGCATTTGGAAAATCAAGAGTGAGTTGGTTGGGGCTTTTTGACTTTATGTTACTCCTGAAACATCAAAGTAGATGGAGGTAGGAATCTGAATTCATGATGAAGGATGAAAATCTGGGTGTAGATAACTAAGTAAGTGCAGATGGAGAAGAGAAAGGCTCTAGGACTAAACCAAGGACACTGATTTCTGTTTCTTTCAACTATAACATTCTATTAATACAGAGTTTGGTGGTGCAGCCTTGTAAATTAGTTTTCCCTGTCCCTGATATCAACATCTACTAATTTCTTACGTTTAATTTCTTCACTATTGTCTTCTGCTGCGCACAGTTGGATCCTTCCACATGTTTTAATTACCCTACAGAAGGCGATAGGGATGACCTAAGTTGTAATCAAGTGATTTTGTGGCTGCCATTTGTCACTTACTCCCTACAAATTCTGTTACATCACAGAGATATTTGCTTATAGGTACCTCTTATATTTCAGAAGAAGATAAAGATTCATTTTACTAAAGATGTTTAAAGAGCAGTTAATGCAGCTGATTCTGAATGATAGGTTTTTAGTGTCTAGAGGACAGTAAATCAGTATCAAACTTTTCTTTACTCAGAAATCACTATTTGAAAGAATTACTTGTATGGGCAAAAATTTTGTTAACATAGTCTTCTATAACCACAAGCAGAAATTCAATTGTTTATAGGTGTCTCCAGATTTCACAATGTTTCCTGACATTCTCCCAACCCTTCACAAAGTCTTCTCATTTAATATCTTCAAGAAATCCTGTGAAATACTGGGGGTCCAAAAACAAAAAATTATTTTTCCAAGATCATATTAAGTATACAGTCAGAGATAAGAATTGCTTCACCCCAGGAGACAGAGGTTGCAGTGAGCCAAGATCACATCACTGCATTCCAGCCTGGGTGACAGAGAGACTCTGTCTCAAAAAAAAAAAAAAATGCCTTTTATCCTTATATTTCCTCACAAGATAGTAAGGTCTAGGGAAGGACTTTTTTTTTTTACTGTTTAAGAAAATTTAGTTTTTATTGAAAATGAGTTTGTGTACCAAATATTCATACTTTAGCTAATCACTGTTTGATTCTTTCACTATGTTTTTATTTCAACACTTGCTTTTAAAAAAACTCAAAACTTTAAAAATGTTTATGACTTGTCCCCTTTCCTTACCCTTTTAAAACAATCAACTCTGCTTAGGAAACTAACCATAGTTTTACTTCCCATAAAAAGTTTGTGTGTCTATGTATGACCCATACATAGTGTCTTCTTTTTTCTTTTCTTCTCAGCTTTTATTTTAGGTTTGGGGGTACATGTGAAAGTTTGTTGCATAGGTAAACTCATGGGGGTTTGTTGTACAGATTATTTCAACACCCAGGTATTAAGCTTAGTACCCAATGTTATCTTTCTGTTCCTCTCCTACTTCCCAACCTCAACCCCCAATCCTCAAGTAGACCCCAGTATCTGTTGCTCTCTTCTTTGTGTTCATGAGTTCTCATCATTTATTTCCCATTTATAAGTGAGAGCATGTAGTATTTGGTTTTCTATTCCTGTGTTAGCTTGCTAAGGATAATAGCCGTCAGTTTCACTGATGTTCCCGCAAAAGACATGATCTTATTCTTTATTATGGCTGTGTAGTATTCCACGGTGTATAGATACCACAATTTATTTTTTTGAGACAGAGTCTTCCTCTGTCACTCAGATTGGAGTGCAGCAGTGACATTTGCCTCCTGGGTTCAAGTAATCCTCCTGCCTCAGCCTCCTGAGTAGCTAGGATTACAGGTATGCACCACAATGTCCCGCTAATTTTTGTATTTTAGTAGAAATGGAGTTTTACCAAGTTGCACACGTTGGTCTCAAACTCCTGATCTCAAATGATCTGCCCACCTCAGCTTCCCAAGGTGCTGGGATTATAGTTGTGAGCCACCACGTCCAGCCCTGTACCACACTTTTTAATCCAATCAGTTATTGATGGGCATTTAGTTTGACTCTATGTCTTTGCTATTGTGAATAGTGCTGCAACAAACATTCATGTGCATGTGTCTTTATGGTAGAATGATTTATATTCCTCTGAGTATACACCCAATACGGGGATTGCTGGGTTGAATGGAGTTCTGCTTTTAGCTCTTTGAGGAATCACCATACTGTTTTCCACAGTGATTGAACTAATTTACACGTCCTCCAACAATGTGTAAGTGTTTCCTTTTCTCTGCAACCTCACCAGCATCTGTTAATTTTTTTACTTTTTAATAATAGCCATTCTAACTGGTATGAGATGACATCTCATTGTGGGGTTGTTGTTGTTGTTGTTGTTTTTGCATTTCTTTAATGATCAGTGATATTGAGCTTTTTTTCATACGCTTGTTGGCCACATGTCTGTCATCTTTTGAATAGCATCTGTTCATGTTCTTTGCCCACTTTTTAATGCAGTTGTTTTTCTCTTGTAAATTTGTTTACATTCCTTCTAAGTGCTGAGTATTAGGCCTTTGTCAGATGCATTGTTTGCAAATATTTTATTCCATTCTGCACGCTGTCTGTTTACCTGTTGATAGTTTCTTCTGCTGTGCAGAAGCTCTTAATTATATTTCACTTGCCAATTTATGCTTTTGTTGCAATTGTTTTAGGCATGTTTGTCACAAAATCTTTGCCTGTTCCTATGTCTAGGATGGTTTTGCCTAGGCTGTCTTCTAGAGTTTTTATAGTGTTCAGTTTTACATTTAAGTCTTTAATCTATCGAGTTGATTTTTATATATGGTGTAAGGAAGGGATCCAGTTTCAATCTTCTGTGTATGACTAGTCAGTTATCCCAGCACCATTTATTTAGTGGGGAATCTTTTCCCCATTGCTTGTTTTTTGTCAGCTTTGTCAAAAATCAGATGGTGGTGTATGTGCAGCCTTATTTCTGGGCTCTCTATTCTGTTTTGATGGTCTTTGCCTGTTTTCGTGCCAGTACCATGCCCTTTGGGTTACTGCATCACTGTAGTATAGTTTGAAGTTAGGTAACACGATGCCTCCAGCTTTGTTCTTTTTGCTTAGGATTGCCTTGGCTGTTTGGCTCTTCTTGGTTCCATAAGAATTTTAAAATAGTTTTTTCTAGTGCTGCGAAAAATGTTGTCAGTAGTTTGATAGGAATAACATGGAATCTATAAATTGCTTTGGGCAGTATGACCATTTTAGTGACATTGATTCTTCCTATCCATGAGCACGGGATGTTTTTCCATTAGTTTGTGTCTTGTCTGACACAATTTCTTTGAGCAGTGTTTTGTAATTCTCATTGTAGGAATGTTTCACCTCCCTGGTTAGCTGTATTCCTAAATATTTTATTCTTTGTGTGGCAATCACGAATGGGATTGCTTTTTTGATTTGGCTCTCGGCTTGGCTATTGTTGGTGTATAGGAAGGTTAGTGATTTTTGTACACTGATTTTGTACCCTGAAACTTTGCTGAAGCTATTTATCAGCTGAGGGAGCTTTTGGGCTGCGACTGTGGGGTTTTCTATGTACAGAATTATGTCATATGCAAACAGGAATAGTTTAACTCTCTCTCTTCCTATTTGGATGCCCTTTATTTATTTCTTTTGCCTAATTGCTCTGGCCAGGACTTCCAGTATTAAGTTGAATAAGAGTCGTAAGAGACAGCATCTTTGTCTTGTGCCAGTTTTCAAAGAGAGTGCTTCCTGCTTTTGCCCATTCGGTATAATATTGGTTGTCAGTTTGTCATAGATGGCTCTCATTATTTTGAGGTATGTTCCTTCAATACCTACTTTATTGTGGTGTTGAATTTTATTGAAACCCTTTTCTCCATCTCCTGAGATAATCATGTGGGTTTTGTCTTTACTTCTGTTTATGTGATGAATCACATTTATTGATTTGTGGATGTTGAACCAATCTTGCATCCTGGCAATGATGCTTAAGTAATCATGGTGGATTAGCTTTTTGATGTGCTGCTGGATTCAGTTTGCCAGTATTTTGTTGAGAATTTTTGCATCAATATTCATAAAGGATATGGGCCTGAAGCTTTCATTTTTTGTTGGGTCTCTATCAGGTTTTCATATCAGGATGACACTGGCCTCATAGAATGAGTTGAGGAGGATCCCTCCTCAAATTTTTTGAACAGTTTTAGTAGGAATGGTACCAGCTCTTCTTTGTACATCATGTAGAATTTGGTTGTGAATCCATAAGATCCTGGGCTTTTTTTGTTTGGTTGGTTGGTTGGCTGGTTTGGTTTGTTGGCTGTTTATTACTAATTCAGTTTAGGAGCTTGTTATTTGGTTTGTTCAGGAAATCTGTTTCTTCATGGTTCAGTCTTGGGAGATGTATGTGTCCAGGAATTTCTCCATCTCTTCTAGGTTTTCTAGTTTGTGTGCATAGAGGTGTTCATAGTAGCTTCAGATAGTTATTTTTATTTCTGAGGGGTCAGAAGTAACATTCCCTTCATTATTTCTAATTGTGTTTATTTGGATCTTCTCTTTTTTCTCATTTATTAGCATATATACCTTATAAATTTTTTCAAAAAATTAGATCCTGGATTTGTTGATCTTTTGAATGGATTTTGTGTCTGTTTCCTTCAGTTCAGCTCTGATTTTGATTATTTATTGTCTTCTGCTAGCTTTAGAGTTGATTTGTTCTTGCTTCTCAAATTCTTTCAGCTGCGATGTTAGGTTGTTAATTTCAGATCTTTCTAACTTTTTGATGTATTTCATGCTATAAATTCCCTCTTAAAACTGCCTTAGCTGTGTTCCAGAGATTTTAGTATGTCATATGTTTGTTCTTATTAGTTTCAAAGAAAATCTTGATTTCTGCCTTAATTTCATTATTTATCAAAAAAAAAAGTCATTCGGGAGCATGTTATTTAATTTCCATGTAATTGCATGGTTTTTAGCGATTTTCTTACTCTTCTACTTTTATTGTGCTGTGGTTTGCAAATGTGTTTGGTATGCTTTTGTTTATTTGCATTTGCTGAGGATTGCTTATGTCCAATTATGTGGTTGAGTTTAGAGTATGTGCCATGTGGTTATGAGAAGAATGTATATTCTGTTGTTTTGGAATGGAGGGTTCTGTATAGATCTATCAGATCCATTTGGTCCAATGGTGAGCAGGTCCTAAATATCTTTGTTAATTTTCTGCCTCAATGATCTAATATTGTCTATGGAATGTGGAAGTTTCCCACTATTAATGAGTGGGAGTCTATGTCTCTTTGTATGTCTCTAAGAACTTGCTTTATGAATCTGGGTGTTCCTGTGTCGGACCCATGTATATTTAGAATAGTTAGATTTTCTTGTTGAAATGAACCCTTTACCATTATGTAATGCCCTTCTGTGTTTATCTTTGTTGGTTTGAAGTCAGTTTTGTCTGAAATTAGGATTAAAACTCCTGCTTTTTTCTGTTTTACATTTGCTTGGTAGGTTTCTCCATCTTTTTGTTTTGAGCCTATGAATGTCATTATGCCATTGTGAGATGGTTCTCTTGAAGACAGTGTACCATTGAGTCTTTCTTTTTTATTCAGCTTGCCACTCTACCTTTTAAGTGGGCATTTAGCTCATCTACATTGAAAGTTAATATTAATATGTGTGGATTTGATCTTGTCATTGTTTTGTTAGCTGGTTATTATGTTAACTTGTTTGAGTGGTTGCTTAACAGTGACACTGGTCTGTGTGTCTAAGTCTGTTTTAATATTAGTTGGTAGCAGTGTTTCCTTTGTGCTCCTTACAAGATCTATTATAAGGCAGGTCCGGTGGTAATGAATTCCTTTGACATTTGCTTACCTGAAAATGAACATAATTCTCCTTCACTTAGGAAGCTTAGTTTGGCTGGATATGAAATTCATGGTTGAAGATTATTTTAAGAATGCTGAATAAAGACCCCTGTATTAGTCCATTCTTATGCTGCTAATAAAGACATGCCTGAGACTGGGTAATTTATAAAGGAGAAAGATTTCATTGACTCACAGTTCAGCATGGCTGAAGGCCTCAGGAAACTTACAATCATGGCAGAAGGGAAAGCAAATATGTCCTTCTTGACATGGCAGCAAGAAGGAGAAGTATGAAAGCCAAGCAAAGGAAGAAGCCCCTTATGAAACCATCAGATCTCGTGAGAACTTACATCACAAGAACAGGATGGGGAAAACCACTCCCATGATTCAATTACCTCCACCTGGTCCCTTCCACAACACGTGGGGATTATGGGAACTACAATTCAAGATGAGATTTTGGTAGGGACACAGCCAAACCATGTTAGCCCCCAGTCTCTTCTGGCTTGTAGGGTTTCAGCTGAGAGGTACACTGTTAGCCTGATGGAGTTCCATTTGTACATTTGTAGGTGACCTGCCCTTTCCTCGCTAGCTGCCTTTAACATTTTTTCTTTCATTTCAACCTTGGAAAATCTGATGATTTTTGTCTTTGGGATGATATTCTTGTGTACAGTCTTGCAGGAGTTCTCTGTATTTCCCGAATTTGACTGATGGCATCTCTAACAAGATTGGGGAAGTTTTCATGGATGATATCCTGAAATATATTTTCCAAGTAGTTTGCTTTCTCCTGGGAGGGACTATTTTTCTTATTTGTCCTTGTAAATCACTTCATAGTTCTGAATATAAGGTGATATTATTTTCAGATTGGTGGCAGAGCAATAGTTCTTTGATCAAAGTTTTGCTTCTACTATGGGATTTTTTTCATCACACCTCCCACCCACACAGGCTCCCAACCCAGTTCCTTCTCCTAGGGTTGGAATAATGAGAAACCTCTTCAATGATCCATTCCTATGGAGTGTCCTCCTCAACCTCCATCAACTAAGGCTGTTTTCTAGTAAGATTTCATATAAATAGTAATGATATGAACAGTTTTAAGACTGTCTATTTGTAGGGTACTTTATAACTGATTCCATCTTTATGCAAACCATACTGATAGTAATACTTCACTGAAGAGATGAAGAAACTGAGCTTTGGAGCATTGCATAAATCAACCAAGATCTGTCATCCAGAAGATACTAACATTAGTATTGGAGTCATTTACATGACTTTTAAGGCAGGATTATAGATGACTGAGGAGATTTTCAACATGCAGGATTAAGTGATGGTTTAGGGTTGACACGTGGCAGAGTTAGAATAATGAGGTAGAGACCCCGCTCATCAGTCTGTTACTTTTCTGTCCACTCTTAAATTGGGAAATGTCTGTCAAAAAACCCTGCTAATTTAGTTCACTCTAACTTTGTCATTCTCACATATGTTTGCCTTTAATGACAGGATATGTTGACTACAGCTTCTACTTATCTGTTTGAAGCCACAGAAAAAAGATTCTTTTTCAAAAATGTAACTATATTAGTCCCTGAGAATTGGAAGGAAAATCCTCAGTACAAAAGGCCAAAGTATGAAAACTATAAACATGTAAGTGTTAAAATCTTCTCTTAAAAATTATATTTTCTGATATTCCTCAGTTTTGCCACAAATTATTTAAGAGTTTTTCTAACCGAATATTATCTTTTTATTTCTGATGTTTAACAATCTTTTTCAACATTCTCAGGCTGATGTTATAGTTGCACCACCTACATTCCCAGGTAGAGATGAACCATACACCAAGCAGTTCACAGAATGTGGAGAGAAAGGCGAACATATTCATTTCACCCCTGACTTTCTACTTGGAAAAACACAGAATGAATATGGACCATCAGGTAGAAATTTTGGTTAAAAAACAATTTTGTAATAATTGCAGCATACAACTTTCTGTGCAGGTTAAGTGTGCAAGCCATTGGGTCAAAGTCCTTAGAATCATATCCTGGCTCCCCTACTTACTAGCTATGTGTGACCTTAAACAAGTGACCTACTGCCTCTGTACTTATTCCCTACAAAATGCCAAAGAGAAAAGTTTCTACCTTATAAAATATTTCTTTTACATTAAACTAGAGAATCCAGATAAATGTACTCAGTACAGTGTCTACAAAAATATAAACAGAGAAAAGCAATTATAAATGTTTTTTTAAGGCATGCTTTTTAGATTTTAATATTTCCAGTTCTCCATAGCTTGATATTAACAAATCAGAGGTAAGCTACATAAAAGCCAGATGTATAGTAAGCTGGAATGAGTCATGTTGCCAGTTGCTGGTCAAGAAAACACACTTAGGCTATCAGTTGCTGATATCATCAGCCTATTTCATTGAAACAGATGGCATTGTCTGCAATTGATCATTTTGACCTATAAAAATGGCAATGTCATCTAGTTCAATCTAAATGTTAAAATAATTTTATCAAAACAAACTAAAGTGCCTTTCACAGACAAAAATGCAAATTATTGTTAAAAGAGGGCGCTACACATGTGTCACTGTTCAGTGGGAACCTTCCTGAATCCCTATACCCCAGAATCACTCTCTTCCATTTCTGTTCATTGAACACTTATTAAGTCTCTTGTCTCTGCCAAACATTCAGCTAAATCTGGTCCTATTCATTACCTGGACCAGTTCCCCTCTCCACTCTTGAAAGCTCCATCATTTCCTTATATCCCAGTCTTACCTCTTTCCCATACATTATCCTGATCATGTTTATTTTCCTTGGCACCTCTAATCCTTTGTGCCCTTTTAGTTATACTTTCTTTCTACCTGGCATGTCCTGCAAAGTCAGTCATTTCAACTACAAATATAAATAGTTCAAGTTTCTTACAACTTTTATTCTTGTGTTTCATTCAGTTTACTAAATCTTCTGAATTATCCATCTAGTTTATTTTTGGCTCCTGTTATGTTTTCAAGAATGTTGGAGAAAATTATAAAACCAATTGATATGATATAAAGACACATTTTTCAAGCTCAATGAAGTGCTCAAAGCTACTCTACAATATTTTTACTCAGCTCTTCTCAACTCCCTTTCTCAATTCCTATAGCAGCTGACCTAAACCTTCTACCATTTTTCTCAAGATCTCCAGCCACTCTTCTCAATCTCATCATTAATTCCCTGATTGATAAAACAGAGGTCTCTATATTCTTCCTATTTCCAAACTCATTACTACCTATACCTTCTCTACCTGTACCTTTCTTAGAAGAGAAAGGCTTCCCTAATTTATAAGATCCATATCCCCATATAAGTTCTTGATTTTTCCCATATCCCACACCTCAAGCCTATTCTATTACTGACAGGCCACCCCTTCTTCTTAGACAGATCTTTCTTCTTTTTCACAAACGCATAATGTGATATATGTGTTTGTGAAAGAAAAGCCTCACAGTCTACAAACAGTGTCCTAAAAAACAATTTTTGGATAAATAAGATTACTAAGAGAGTTCAGAAAATCTATGCAGTTTTGTAATAATCATGTTACCAACACCAACAATCACAATAGATCATTTAGATCACTCAGGCAAGCAATGCAGTATGGCTGGAGGCTGCCACAGCACATATTAAAAGTACACACAGACACGTGGTGTGGGGAGGGGGAAGACAGAAATGTTATTAGAAATGGAAACGGGAATCTCTTGAAATGAGACGATGATGTAGATGGGAATGGAATTCTAAGTCAAAAGGGCCGCTTTTAAGGTGGTCATGTGAGGCAGGGAAACCTGAGAAGGAATCAAATCTGAGGGGACTCTCTAAGAAGAGAGACAGGTATAGGGAGTTTTAAATTTTTCTTAACATTCACCAAATTCCTACTGCAGTAGCTGATATGAGGGCTTTCTCCTTTCCTACTAAAGTTCTAATTCTGTTCCCACAAACCTGGTTCCATTTGCCTAGAAAACCTGAAACCAGTGTTTTTTAAGTGCAATATGTAGAAGAATAACTTAGGGGCCTTGTTAATATTCAGCTTCTGATTCAGTAAGTTAAGAGTGGCCTGAAGATTCTGCATTTCTAACAAGCTTCCAGGTGATGCTGACGGATGTGGTCCAGGACCACAGTTTGAATAGCAAGGACTTAAAAAAGAAACATGACTTCTTCATACTATGGTATTTTCCTCCTATTTTCAGATTTATATAAGGTAATTTGAGCTACAGAAACACATACTGTAGCAAAATAGATGTTATTTCCAATCTCTCCTTCTCCAACAAGTTTTTCTCAACATTGCTAAAACGAAAATTCTACTTTCCTTATTTCAGCATCTCAAGGTGTGGATTTACTTTTATTCTTCCATTTATTGTGAAATTCTTATTTTTAAAAAACATTTCATCATCACACACTGGGGTCTGTTGGGGGGGATTGGGGAGCGACAGGGGGCACAGGGAGTTTGGGGAGGGATAACATGCAGAGAAATGCCAGAGGTAGGTGATGGGGGGATGGAGGCAGCAAACCACATTGCCATGTATGTACCTATGCAACAATCCTGCATGATCTGCACACATACCCCAGAACCTAAAGTGCAATAAAATATTTTTTAATATCATTTTATTTGAACTCCCTCTCTCAAAATTTCCTGAAGTGAAGAACTAAATCTCATACATCTTTATATTTCTTAATACCTGGTATTGCATTGAATATATAGAAAATTATTAATAATAGTTTCATATAATTAATGCTTACATGTGCTAAGTACCATAAATGAAGTCCTTCATTTTAACATCCCCGAAATTGTATTTGGCCCATAACAGTGTTTCCCATTTTTTAAAATCATAATAGGGAGCAGTTTTAGACATTTTTTTCTAATCACATCCCCATGGTATTTTAGTACAACAGATGTACTGTGTATCTAATTACGTTGGTTATAATTCAGAGAGCCATAAACTGTTGTACTATCTAAGACTTTTTACCTTCAAGAGCCAAAACACAAATCCCAGTATGCTCTGCTCATAGCATATACTCCCTTATGGTTTCATTGATTTAACATGTTGTGGAATAAGAAGATAATATATTACATAATATAGCATAATATAATGTAATTTAACATAATAGGCTTTTTGATACACCAAAATATAAATGTTGGTAGTTGTTGAAAATGTAAATCTAAATATAGTTTATAACTGAAAGAGAAGCTTCTTAAAATATTTTGATATAAAATGTGTTGCTTGAATTATGATCATGTATTTGAAATGCTTTCCCACAGGCAGACTGTTTGTCCATGAGTGGGCTCACCTCCGGTGGGGAGTGTTTGATGAGTACAATGAAGATCAGCCTTTCTACAGCGCTAAGTCAAAAAAAATTGAAGCAACAAGGCATGGCTATTTAAATTTTCTAAACTGACTTCAGGCTTTTATTTGTTCTTATTTTCCTTACTTTAATTTCTTCCAAAATGAGTCTTAAGGCAGACAATATATAATACAAAATAATGCTTTCTTTTTTTTTAGAAAGTGTATCTTAAAATAGTTGATTGCTATTTAAAACATACATAATTGAGCTTCCAAAGCAAGGCGCCTTGGCTCGCAGAGAGCAAGATTCCATCTCAAAAAGAAAAAAGGAAAAAAAAAAACATACATAATTTCAATGGCAAGCATTTGGTTGGCAATTTAACTTATTTTATACCTCTCTACCATACCTTCCAGAACTCACTTGCACTGACGTTGGGCACAATGTAAATGGATTCACAATATGCTTGGATAAGATCGGAGTTATTTACATTACACAATAATGCACAAACATGGTTAAGTAGTGCTAAATGTGGACTGAGTTAGAAATCAAGCAGCTTCAAGGAGCCAAGCAGGAACTTCTTGGAGATTATAAATGTTATTTAATAATACCATCTAGCATCATAGTTAATATTAGACTCTCCTTTTGATTATGTGGTCAAAAGAGCAAAATGGTTGGGAAGAATTGGTTCAAAATTAAAATTAGTACTATTGTCTCATCAATGTTAGATGTCCTGCTGGGGCTGAAGACTTGACGTTAATGTGTGAATTGAAAGGTATATGATTTAAATCAAGGTCCTTCCTCTGCCCCATTGCACCAATTTTCAGGCACATATTTTAGAGAACATTGCATTTATTGCACTTGTTTATATCATATTCCCCTTAGATGTCTAACTGCTGCTGCAGAATATTGATCATGATTTTCCACATAGATAGCTTCATGATGTCCACCTAGTTTGGGGGCAATAGAAGCATGGACATATTTATGAAACTCCCTAAATAGCTGAAGAAAAAATATTCACCATTTCCTGGATTTGAACTAAAAATCTATTAAAAAGACAAAATATGTTCACATCCCAGCATATTTGCTGCAATTGTGGCTACCTTTGGCCAATTTCATACACAAAACATATGTCTAAACTGTCTCCATCATATTTTATTCTACCATCTTTCTTGGCAGCACCTAATCTTCGCTTCCAATCACATTTTACTTTGGATAAAAATACTCTTTGAATAATCAAAACACTTGTGTCTATGCCATGTACCATTCTTTTGGGACTATCTTCTTTGGGAAGAAATCTACAAAGAACTTGAAACTAAAGTGGTACTCAGAGTAAATGATCTCACAAGGTCTCTTATCCAGGACCCTACAGTGTATTTGCCAACAAAAGACCAGCAGGAGAGATGACTAAGCAAGAGATCAGCAGCTTTAATAGCAGCGGAGAACTCGACCATTGTGTTTATCTGGAGGCCTCACATAAATTTTCCCTCTAGAATTTCTTTAAAAATAGATAATTACTTTGATTGGAACCCTTAAACTCTACTGCCAGGATAGAAAGTGCACACAGAAGAATAAACATCTTGATATAAAGGTCATAATGAATAGAACCACTTAGGATTTCTATTAGCATTAATGATTAAGTTGCCTCAAAGATTAACTGTCATATATTTTCAGGTGTTCCACAGGCATCTCTGGTATAAATAGAGTTTATAAGTGTCAAGGAGGCAGCTGTCTTACTAGAACGTGCAGAGTTGATTCTACAACAAAACTATATGAAAAAGATTGTCAGTTCTTTCCTGATAAAGTGCAAACAGAAAAAGCATCCATAATGTTTATGCAAAGTATTGATTCTGTAAGTATGCTGACAATTGCTTCCAAAATTTATAATCAAATGACATATTGTCATGTTTTTAAAGTAAATGTTCAGGTGACCTAAGGATTACATATATTGAAATAGAGTTCTTTGAACATTGCCTAACACATAATAAGTGCTGAACTAGTGTTATCTAGTGTTTATCTATTATTACAGTTATCAGTATTCTTATTATGGTAAATCTGCCTTATTGTAATATTGATGCTCAGCAAATCATATTTCATTCAATGAACAATATATCTGCAGAACACATTTACAAATTTTTCAGGTTTGTAGTTTGATTTTCAAATGCATGGTATATTTAAATTATTTTTTCATTTTATTAACCTTTTAGGTTGTTGAATTCTGTAATGAAAAAAACCATAATCAAGAAGCTCCAAGCCTACAAAACATAAAGTGCAATTTTAGAAGTACATGGGAGGTGATCAGCAATTCTGAGGACTTTAAAAACACCACACCCATGGTGACATCACCTCCTCCACCTGTCTTCTCATTGCTGAAGATCAGTCAGAGAATTGTGTGCTTAGTTCTTGATAAGTCTGGAAGCATGGTGGTAGGTTCATTTTTTTCTAGATATTCTAATGTGGGATATTTGAAGATCTGAGAACACACTGAACTCTATCCACACCTAGATTATTTTCGCTTGCAAGGTGGCATAAAGTACCATCATTCCCTGTGATCATGACTTCAAGATATTGCAGGAAAATGTCATAGTAAAAGAAAGATGCCAATATAATTAAAAAGACCTAATCCAAGTGTCACTTCTTTCTTGGATTCCTCCAGAAAATGGACTGGGCTTCTAGGCTGGTTAAAGTCCTTCTACTGATTCCCAACAATGCCCTGCACATACCTCTATTACTGTATATTATATTTATATTACACATTTCTCTTCCACTAGCCTAGGAGATCTTCTAAGACTTGGAACCATATTTTATTCATCTTTTTATCCCCATTGCCTAGAATAAATTTAATCACATATGGGTGATCAACAAATAATTGTTGAAATGAATGGATGGCAAACAAGTGACTGCAATGTGATAAGAAACCAGAAAAATGGCACATTTAAGGCAGAACAATGCATGCTGAAGAACAGCAATAAGATCTTCAGCAAATGGGGGGAGGTATTAAAAAGGGTAGAGAATGAGAGAGCTGAAGGAATCAAGTCACTATAATGCAGGTAGTGGAGGGAGCATTTAAAATGAAGATATAGAAGATTTTCATTGTCATTTGGTTCAGGGAGTTCAGAAGGAAATGTAGGCATAAGTTGGTGAGGAGTAACAGATCAATATGGTGATAAAGACCGGAGAAGACAAACACGTGAAGAAGCTTACACCCTAGACAATCACCTTTGAAAGAGGGCTGGGTCCTGAGGGTTATCAAAGAGCCAATTCCAATAAACCCATTGGTGGAAAGCAGGCAGCGAGAGGTTAGGAACAGAAAGAGAAAGTGGGAAGATAGGGGCTTGGCCTCTCTCAATTTAAAGCGAAGCTTGGGTTAAGTTTTACCTTTTGAGCAGTGTACTTTCCAGTGGATGGAGTGATTCCAGTCTCTGGTTGGAGTTTACAATCATCTGGTTTGATTTATAGGCTTGGGAGTATGGTTTTATCTGAAGACAAAAGGCACAGAAGCTCCCAGGAGAAATTGGAGAGTCTCTAAAATTTGTATCCTCACCCCAATTTCAACTCAATCCCCACCCTAGCTTCCACCTCTAACTTGGGTACTTAGCAGTTAAGAATCAGCTATAAATAAAAGCCTGTGCTCCTTACTATGCAAAATGTGTCCAATAATACACACCACCTTTTTAAAATTTTATCAATTCTTTAACAACATTGAGTACTGTTCATAGAACATCTTATCAATAAATTCTGTTCATTCGTTTTATGTGATCTTCTATTATTTTCCAGTCAAAAATCACTTGTTTGTTTTTCTCATCTTTTTGATCTAGGGTTATAACCGCCTGAATCGAATGAATCAAGCAGCAATACAATTCCTGCTGCAGACTGTTGAAAATGGATCCTGGGTGGGGATGGTTCACTTTGATAGTACTGCCACTATTATAAATAAGCTAATCCAAATAATAAGCAGCAATGAAAGAAATACACTCTTGGAAAAGTTACCTACATATGCTCAGGGAGGAACTTCCATCTGCTCTGGAATTAAATCCGCATTTCAGGTGAACATCGTACTGCAAATATATTTTGTTTTTTGTTTCTTTTTCACGTTAAGAAGGAGATTTTCTCGTTAAGTGCTGCTGCACATGCTTGCTGCCTAATTTTAACATAAGTAATCCTGAGAAGCACAGGACTAAGCATACAGAAAAAAAATTCTCTTGATGTTTTTATGGATCAATGAATCAATGAACAACCCATGGGTGAATAACCGACTATAAATTTGCCACTCACTTCCAAGCCCAAGGAAGTCAGGGACTTTGCTGTCTTGTTACCATGCAGTAGTCAGTGCTTGATAAATGTTAGTTAAATAAGTGTGCTTAGATGCAAAAGCCATCAATTTTGTGGCAGTGACACAGATGACATAGTATTCCACTTTAAGTTAATTCTCATTTGAGCTTCTGTAACATTCAGTGAGGGCTAATTATTTATTGGACCTCTTAAAGCAGATGTAGCAAGACTGTGAGTCATATTTAGGGTAAGACATGAATTAGAGCATAAACTTTGACATCAGAATACTGGATGTGCTACTTACTGTGTAATCTTAAGCTAACATTTCAGTCTCTTTGGACTCTCAATGCCTCATCTATACAATATAAGAAATAGGAATGCCTACCTCATAGAATAATTACAAGGATTATGTGAAATGATACATTTACATACTTAGAACAGTATTTACTATATTATGTAGTAAATATATAGTTCAAATATTATATGTAATAAATATATAATAATTTATCATAAGTATATAATTATTTATAATAATTAGTTAAATATATGCATAAGTATCATGAACATTATTTTAGCCAAATGGTCATCTTGAGCCCACAACTAATATCAATTATGTCATTTTACTGTTAAGAAATCTTCACTGTCTCTTCACAGTCTACAAAATTGTCTCAATTTCTCAGTCTGACATTACTAAAATGTCTCCCCAACGCAGTAAAATTGCCCTCAGGTATCTTTAACGCCTTATTTCTCAATTCTCCCCTCTCTTTTTTATCCTCCAACCAACTTACTACACACATTGTTCTCCAAGTCCACTATGTACTAACAGCCTCCAAACTTTTGCACATGCAAATTCCTCTATTTAAAATGCTTCCTTCCCCCACCCCAAAGCCTGTCTCTGCATGTTAAAATTTTACCAATCCTTCAAAATGCTTTCTTCTTCATATAGCTTCCCTTTTACTCCTGACCCAATTGAATCTCTCTCTTCCATGAATTGCATGACATTTTAGTTTAGGTTTGTAACATGAAGTCCTACATTCAAATCACAATTGTAACTTATTAGCTTTATGACCCTAAACATGATTCACATCCTCTCTAGTCTTCAATTACCTCATCAGTAAAATAGGATAATTAAAGCTAGCACATAGAGTTGCTCATGCTTTAATTCATTCAAAATACGAACATGTTTTAATTTTAAATTCACCAAGCGAAGCTTTTTCACTCTTGTGGTACATTTATATAAGTAGGGAACAGATAATAAATAGATAGATAAAAACAAGAACTGCAGATTTTATAGTGTTGTGAATAAACCAAACAGGGAGATATGACAGAATAACAGGGAAAGGAGAATTACTTTGGTTAGAGAGGCCAATGAGACTTCTCTAAAAAGTAACATTTAAGCTCTGATTTGAAGGATGAGAAGAAGACAGTAGTTCAGTTAAAAAAGAAAGTGCAAAAGTGCCTTAGGAAAAAGGTGAGAAAAAACTGGATTATTCTAAGAAATGGTAGAAGCTAGTGGCACTGGAGTTTGGCAAATGAGGGGGTATGAAATGTGGTTGGAGAAGTAGAAAATGACTAGATCTTTCAAAATGTCAAAAAATAAGAGGCTTGTATTTTGTTTCAAGAACAACAGAAAGCTCCCGAATGCTTCAAAGTGTCAGAGTTTGATCATCTATTTATATCACAGGAAGATGATTCCAATTGCCCTGAATAAAACAAATTGTAGGCAGTAAGAGTGGTAATAGGAAGACACTTTGGGAGCTTGGATTTGGATTAAATTATACAATGTATAAAACACAGTTAACACATAGCAAGTATTCAATGAACTGTTAACACTACATTGTTATTTCTCTTGAACTATAGAATATTCTGTGGTAAATACATATTACTTTTGTCTTTGTTGCTCATCTGTAGATCTCCTCAGTCTCTGTCACAAAGCTCCATAAACACTGTTAAATTGAACCCAGTTATTTATTAATATAGGAATGTAGTTCCTACCGAATCCCCAGCACAGTGACTGACACATTGTAAATGCTTGCTAAATAAACACGTGCAAGAAAAGGAGAGATGAAAGAGAACTCTGCTTCATCTTTGGATCTTCATTTTGTACTTAAATGCATGGGAGAAGTGTGATGGAGATGCTACAAATGCCCTAAATGTATAAAAGCATTTTCCTATCTTTTTGTTTGGTTTCAATGCATGTCAGAGAATATTTCCCATATATTGCAATATATGTATTAGTCATTCTTTGCCTCAAAACATGCAAAGTTTGTCGTAAGGGTACACAATTTATCCCCTGATCCAGCTTTCTTAGGGATTTCTACATTCCAAACCCTCTTCTGCACATCTTCACAAATACCTCCACTCCATGCCAAAGAAAGCCACTGGTAATCTGTCATTTGTTGCCTCTTGGCCTAGGCTCAGTGTCTCAAAATTGTGCTCCAAGATGCCACTACCAATTAAAAGTGTCAAATAAAATGAAATATAGTTGTCATCCTGGGCTAAGTTCTCTGTTTATCCTCTTTTACGGGCACCTAGATTCAAAACTTTGAGTTTCAAACTGTTTGGCATTTAGGAAAGGGATTCAAGCTACAAATATAATTTTCATGTATTATTTGAGCATCACCAATATGCTTAGTTCTGTGCCAGTTATTATTAGAAGTAAATCAAAGTTGCATAACAAGGTCCCTAACCACATGCTTAGAACTTTCCATATTTTTTCTTTATAAGCATAGTGAGGGTTTACTAATTTGTAATCACTGACTTTGAAAATGTTGAAGTGGATTCTTAAGGCCTAGCTGTAAGTGCAACAGACTTTATAAACTGAAAGCTTATCTGTTAGAGGGTAGTCCAGTCAAAGAAAACAGAACACTATTTAATGTCATATACTATAATTATACCTTTGGTATCTGATTGACCTGAGTTTCCCAGGTTGAGATGTTATCACCATTTAGTCTAGACAGGAATTTCCAAAGTCTGATCCCACCTAATTCATTTAAATAAATATTCCCTGCTTCTGGGAGTTAAAAAGAAATTCATGTTTAAGTTCCCCCAAAAACTGTTGCCTGAAAATTCTTATTTTAAAATAGAGGACATCTCTTCTATTCTGCATAACTTGTGTTTATTTTCTCTGTGATTTTTTTCTTATTTCCCATTGGTCTATTTGATCTCGGAATGCCTGTTGGTAACTGTGCTCTGAATTACCTTTACAGGTGATTAGAGAGCTATACTCCCAACTCGATGGATCTGAAATAGTGCTGCTGACTGATGGGGAGGATAACACTGCAAGTTCTTGTATTGATGAAGTAAAACAAAGTGGGGCCATTGTTCATTTTATCGCTTTGGGAAAAGATGCTGATGAAGCAGTAATAGAGATGAGCAATATAACAGGTAAAACATGGTTCATTTATTCCAAGCCTTCAATATCAATGTGTAAATGTAAAGGCTAAGAGTTCAACAACTTCCCTTGAATTTCTGACCTGGAGGCACTGAAGCTGGGGACCAGACCCAATCTGTTCTCATAGCACTTGGAGTAAAAATAAAACCTGTTAATGAAATAACATACTCAGATAACATTCCTTCATAACAGAGGAATATAGAAAAATAAAGTTCTATATGAGCAGAGGAAGCCATTAAATTACTAGAGTTGTGTACATCCAGGGAAAGGAAGCATGAGAAACTAGCTAAATTCTGAGCCGGGCTTTGAACAAGGTCTTGAATTTCTCTGGGTAGAAAAAATGGTAAGAAAAGATGATCAGGTCAATGGCAAAAAACATCATGTTGGGGTGACAATGCAAGGCATGTGGCAGGAAAGGTGAAAATCCGTGAGACCAGAGCATAAGCTGTCGGGTGGGTGTACGTGATTAACAGAAGCTCAGGCTGAAAAGATCTACATAACAATGAAGTTTTTATATAAACTTTAACTATGGTAGCTGTTATTTTAGACACACGACATATGATGAAAATGGATTACGCATTTCTAATACCTTCTTAAACATAGTAGAGAATATATAATTTATGACATGATATAAATTATGTTGAACTGGCTTCTAATGGTACTAAATATATGCTTGCTTTTTAATGCTTATACAAAATCACATCATTTTAAAGTACTTTCATGGCCACTGTAAAATTTATTTCTATTCCAAGTAGCACCTTAAAAGTAGTAGTATTTTGGATTAATCTCTCTTGCTTTCCATTTTTCTATCTGTTCATTGCCAGTTATTGTGATGATACCTAAATATAGCAGCTCCTTCATCTTTCTAATGTTCTGATTTTAATCTATGCTGGCTGAAATGTCTGAAAGTCAACTTTGTTAAAACTAAAATAAAAGATTAATAAATTTTTTAACAAAAGATTTCACAAATCTACACTGACTGAAATATCTGAGTCAACTTTGTTGGAAATAAAAGATTCTCTAAAAGGGCTGTGTGTAAAGTTTGTCAGCTTTAATAACTGGAATTATAACATCTTTCATATTCTATAATTATCATGCCTTTTAGCTACCTAAGATTTTGATAATGAGGTATTATGGTAGCTTTCATTCCCTAGTTCTGACATTTTAAAATTAGCATTTCAGATTTAATCTGTACAACTACGTGCCTTTGGTTTATTTTAATAACACATACTGAAACTATGATTTTTTAACTATTACCTTAATAATCACTAAAATAAATTTTCTAGAAAGCAGTCTAATTAATGCATTTAAATTTTAGGAGGAAGTCATTTTTATGCTTCAGATGAAGCCCAGAACAATGGCCTCATTGATGCTTTTGGGGCCCTTACATCAGGAAATGCCGATATCTCCCAGAAGTCCCTTCAGGTCAGAGTTGGTTTTCATGTTCACTTTTGCCATAACAAAGAAAGAAACAATTTGTTAGTTATTATAAGTTTTGAGTTCCATATTTTTCTCAAAATAAATTTTTAATTAAAATCTAAACTTTTTCTTTGGTTAAGAAATGACATTACAACCTAATAATGTCAAATTTTTCCACCAAAAATGGACCTTTTCCAAAATAAAGCACCAATTTTTCAATGAACGCATTTTAAAAGTTTAGGCTTCCAAGCTTTCCCTATGCTTAACTTCTGTGATGTAGATTTAGACACATGAACTCAAGAACCTGGTTGGGAAATGGAGGAAGTGTATCTTGGAAATAAATTAAGCAAGAGAAAGAAGGGGTAATAATCAATGGATATCTACGAACATAGGTCTTCTGTTAACTCCTCAACCACATTTTTTCCCTGGCTTTTTGTTTTATTCACCTCTCTTCTGAACTTAACATTTTTTCTCATTCGGATCTTGATAGCATTTTCTATAACTTGGATTCAAAAACTTTAAGTAAACTTTGATTCTTTTTTCTTCATGTCCCCTGTGAACATAGCCTGTTTCCCTCAAAATATGTTCAACGAAAATGTTTCTCTTCTTTTCATTCCTACAAGTCTATGTCATGTCACTTTATGCCAAGATTTCTGTCTTCTGTTTTCCAGCCCATCAGTTCATTGCTTATATTAAAACTTGCCATGATCCCAAAACAAACATATTTTCCTCTGTTTCTCAACACTGAAAAGAACAGAAGTTACAGGATGTGAGCTTAGAGTATGTGCAAGTTGATTTGGACATCTGGTCTGCAGATATATCCTGCAAACAAGTTAAAACTGGTGTGAGAGCTAGCCTGGTAGTGTGCAGAGAACAAACTGAAGGATAATAAAGGTCATTTCTGAGGTGGACACACTGGTTGACTGAGAAAATGATGATTATGGTGACCGAAATTGACAAGTAAGGAGAGAGAACTGATTCTGAAGATACTATTTTGTGTTCTGTTTATTGTAAACGAATGGTAGAAATACTAAGAAATCTGTTATAAAATGTAGCAACTGTAGTTAACAACAATGTATTGTATACTTGAAAATCATTAAGTGGATTTTTTTATGCATTCTTATCACATAAAAAATAATAATTAATATATGAGGCAATGCATATGTTAATCCACTTGATTTAGCCATTCCATAATATATGCATATTTCTTTGTCAGTTTAAAAAATAAGTAACTAAAGAAACATGGTTGTCTCTCCTGGACTAAGAGCTATCAACAAAAAGTTGGAAAACTTTCTCTAAAGTTCCAATCAGAGAAAGATTCTACTTTCAATTTCCTCTCCTCTCAGGAGTCCAACCTTTAACTATCAGCCCAGTGCTACTCCCTCTATCTGTGTGAAAAAATTATTTCAAAATTTCACATCAGGAAAATATCCATGAATGCTTGCCAAGACAACCAGGAAAAAACAGTAAGGTCATGTTCACAACTATAAAACCCATGCTTCTGCTCTAAGTCTTTTACTTTCTCACTTTTTAATTGATAACTGTCATATCATAACCAGCTTGCAGAGAGATCACAAGTCTAAGGTGCTTTGCCATGTATAAGCTTGTTCTCAGGCCAGAAATTAAGAACCATCTTGAAAAAGAATAAAATTCTGAAGTCATTAATTTTGACATCTGTTTAAACAGCTGGAAAGTAAGGGATTAACACTGAACAGTAATGCCTGGATGAATGACACTGTCATAATTGATAGCACAGTGGGAAAGGACACATTCTTTCTCATCACATGGGACAAACTGCCTCCCAATATTTTTCTCTGGGATCCCAGTGGAACAATAATGGGAAATTTCACAGTGGATGCAGCTTCCAAAATGGCCTATCTCAGTATTCCAGGAACTGCAAAGGTAAGCAATCAGCTTTTAGACTTCCTGAAAACATTTTTTAAAAGCTGAGCATAAATTGTTTAATGTCATAAATGTGAGTACCAAAGATTGTATCAACTTTAAAATTAAGATAAAATAGTATGTACTTTCTATGCCTATGTCCTTAAAATTATGATGGTGGGGAAAAAGGAAAAAGAACCTATGAATTAAGAACAAGGAAGAGGTAGAAGCTGTGGCTCACGCCTGTAATCCCAGTACTTTGAGAGGCCAAGGCAGGTGAATGACGCGGTCAGGAGTTCAAGACCAGACTGGCCAAGACGGTGAAACCCCATCTCTACCAAAAATAAAAAATTACCCAGGCGTGGTAGCAGGTGCCTGCAATCTCAGCTACTCGGGAGGCTGAGGCAGAGAACTGCTTGAACCCAGGAGGTGGAGGTTGCAGTGAGCCGAGATCATGCCACTGCACTCCAGCCTGGGCAACAGACCAAGGACTCTGTCTCAAAAAAAAGAAGAAAAGGTAGTCAAGACAGTCTAAAAAGAACTTTAAGAAGAAAATGTAGGAAAAGTCTATACAACTTGGTGGGTAAAGAGCTACAGGGTCCTTCCTTATTAGCCCTACCAGGATTGATGAATCTGTGGACTCTAAGGCCAAAACCAAGGCAAACCTAAAATTTATTTTTTCCAATTGAGATGTAGCAAAGTGTACACATCATGAATGATACCAGTTGGCATGCCCTCACTGAACTGCCTCAGCTCTTACCCATTTAGCCTCAACATCCTTAAAAACTTCTTTATTCTGCTCTCCACTTACATAATTTATTTTAGAATTACATAATGGAAACATAGAAAGTAGCTTCACTTTGGATACTTACTGTATTTCCGTTGACATTTCTAGGTGGGCACTTGGGCATATAATATTCAAGCCAAAGCAAACCCAGAAACATTAACTGTTACAGTAACTTCTCGAACAGCAAATTCTTCTGTGCCTCCAATCACAGTGAATGCTAAAATGAATAAGGACATAAACAGTTTCCCCAGCCCAATGATTGTTTATGCAGAAATTCTACAAGGATATGTACCTGTTCTTGGAGCCAATGTGACTGCCTTCATTGAATCACAGAGTGGAAATACAGAAGTTTTGGAACTTTTGGATAATGGTGCAGGTAATTCACAGGTTTTTATGAATAAGCCAATATTTTCCTAACTCAACATGTCATGAGTCCCTATGGCATTGTGGGGCAGTAAGATAGGCAACAGAATTGATGCAGATTAAGGAGGAATCGCAGGACCAGCAGGAAATTTGATCTAGGTAAAACCTACAGAGTACTTGGCAAATGTCTTGCATGTGGTAAGCACTCAATCAATGTCTTTGGGCTGGGCACAGTGGTTCACGTATGTAATCCTAGTACTTTGAGAGGCCTAGGTGGGCAGATCACTTGAGGTCAGGAGTTCAAGACTAGCCTGGAAAACATGGTTAAAACCGATTTCTACCAGAAATACAAAAAATTAGCCAGGTGTGGTGGCATACACTTGTAATCCCAGCTACTTGGGAGGCTGAGGCCAGAGGATTGCTTGAATCTGAGAGGTGGAGATTGCCATGAGCCAAGATTATACCACCACATTCCAGCCTGGGCCACAGAGAGAGACTCCATCTCAACAAAAAACAAAAATACCCAAAAAATAAATCAATAAATAAAAGTTTAAAAGTTTTTGATTTTTGAGGGTTTTTTTTGTTTGCATTTTGAGACAAGGTCTCGCTCTGTCACACAGGCTGGATGGGGTTCAGTAATGCCATCTCAGCTCACTGCACCCTCTGCCTCCCAGGCCCAAGCAATCCTCCCACCTAAGCATCCCAAGTAGCTGGGATACAGGTGTGTGCACGATGCTCAGCTAATTTTTAAAATTTTTGTAAAGAACAGGTCTCCAAAAAAAAAGATCTACAAAAGAGAAAAGATCTCACTATATTGCCCCAGCTGTTCTCAAACTCCTGGGCTTAAGCCAGCCTCTCACCCCCGCCTCCCAAAGTGCTGGGATTACAAGAGTGAGCCACCACGCTTGGCCATACATGTTATTTTTTGTCATCATTATTGTTTGTCATCCAGGCAGCCAACATCTGTCACCACTTAGGAAGGTCTCATTCAAGAGGCTGAGGACAGTATCAAGAAATCCTGGCTAGAGAGGGTGAAACACAAGCAAACTAGATGTGATGAAGTGATAGAACTTGAGTCCCTGGCAGGGAAAGAAAGCAGGAGTAATTCTAAACAACTGGAACAAAGTAGTCCTGAGGACGGGGGCCCAGGGCAGCTGGCACTGCCACAGGAGAGGAGGACTCATCACTGGGGCATCAGATACCAGGTCTGGCTGGTAGAAATCAAGATACAGTGTTGACCATACTCTGTCTCCCTGGTCTTTACATATGGGTGATGCCTAAAAACCCTCTCCCTAGATTCTGCATTGTTCTAGGAACGGAACCTTCTGTTAAGAGGTTTTTGAACAAGGAAATAACTGTATTGATAGGCACCCGAGTTTTCTATCAGTATATTTCACAATGTAACTTATTCAATCATTTTATAATCATATCTTCAACTAGAGTTGCCCCTGAGAAAAAGTGAGAAGGTGAAATTGTTCTTTTGTGTACCTCAATGTCTTCTTTGGATTAACCAACATTTCCATAACTATCCCTTGCCTCTTTTTCCCCTTTCTGCAAATCTATACTACATTAAAACTTAAATGCACCATATTTCCCTTCTCAACATTTTGCTTGATGACCATTTAGCTAATTGGGGAAATTTGCTAATTTGGAAGGCCTTAACCTGAGATGATTGATGATTAACAATGATATAGAGCAGACATTCTTTAGGCTTCAAATGTCTTTAGTCTGCAGACAAACTTCAGTGTGCAAAGGAGTCATCTCGAGGGCTTGTAAGAACACAGAATGCTGGGACCTTTCCCTAGGAAGTCTGGAAAATTTATATCTCTAAAAATATCAAAATTTAGTAATTTTAGTTGACTGTTATGAGAATTAAATCCTACACAAAGATAGGATTTTTCCTTAGTAGAGACCGTTTTGATTTAAAAAGAGAGATGACATGAGTTTAGAGAAAGCAAGCTGAAAGCAAAGCAAGTGGTGGAGAGATTGTAAGAGTACTATGTGTAATATTCTGTATATGAATTAATAAGGACCCAAAGGTGAGGTATTTAGGCATTTATTATGCATACATAAATATCAATGTGTGTATGTGTGTTATATAGATAGAATAGATACCAAAATAGCTCAAATGTATTAATTCAACAATATATTGTTTTGGCAGAATATAATGGAAATATTTTCCAAAGGATCAACTTCAAAATATTGAGCCTAATCTAGAGAATATGCTTATAGAGGCCGATTATTAGAAAATACATACATTTCTCTTTACTTTATTCCTTCATTTCTATAACAAGGCGCTGATTCTTTCAAGAATGATGGGGTCTACTCCAGATATTTTACAGCATATACAGAAAATGGCAGATACAGCTTAAAAGTACGGGCTCACGGAGGAACAAACACTGCCAGGCTAAGCTTACGGCATCCACTGAATAGAGCTGCATACATACCAGGCTGGGTAGTAAACGGTGAGTATTCATGATATTTATAATCCAGTGATAGTTTGAATAATATTGTGATTTGATATAATGAAGGCTTCAAACAGTCTGTTTCCCTGGTGGAATAAACTTTATTCCTGATGGAATAAATTTCTCAGTCAGACTACGATTTGCCTCTAAATTAATCTAAGCCTTGGTACAATGTCTGGCACCTAGTAAACACTCAAGCACTCAAAAAGTTCAGTTATTATTTTTTAATCTTTCAATTTAGGTTTGGGGGTACATGTGCAGGTTGGTTGTATAGGTAAATTCGTGTCATGGGGGTTTGTTGTACAGATTATTTCGTCGCCCAGGTACTAAACCTAGTACCCAATAGCTATTTTTTCTGCTCCTCTCCCTCCTCCCCACCTCTACCCTCAAGTAGGCCCCAGTGTCTGTTGTTACCCGCTTTGTGTCTGTGAATTATCATCATCTAGCTTCCACTTATAAATGAGAATATGCAGTATTTTGGTTTTTTGTTCCTGCATTAGTTTGCTGAGGATAATGGCCTCCAGCTCCATCCATGTTCCTGCAAAAGACATGATCTCATTCAAAAACATACATCACATGTTCCAAACTATGTTAGTTTGGAACATCTTATGTATATCAACAATAATATGCCCAATTTTCAGCTCAAGATGAAGGAAAGAGGCCAATTTATGAGTATAAGCACAAGCCAGTGCAGAATTTATCCTTCAGATTATGTATGCTGTAAGAGTAAACATTTATTTGGAATTTTAATAAGTCAAAAAGAAAAAAAATATGTACAGTAAAGTGATGTAAGAATTAGGAATTCATTCTTTGCTAGTTTTTTGTTATTTAGTAACTTATCACTTTTAGGGGCTTTCTGCTAGCAATTGGAATACAATCAGAAGAATTTTTCCTTAGCACTTGCAGCATGGAGGGAGGGTCCTAGCACAAGTGGGTAGAGGAGAACTGGCAATGATTTTTCCAGGTATATTCCCAGAAAGCAGATAATTCAAGAGGTAAAGCAATTCCATTTTTAAAAAGGCACATATTGAATTATATAATATTACTCTCATCCAGTGTAGCCTTAATTCTAAAGTAATTTATTATCTCATTCTGTCCTACAATGTCCTAGCAAATATTCTCTCACCAATTGGATGCTTATGATTGTCACAAAACTTAGTAAAAATTTGACTGTATATATTTTTTAAAAAGGAAAAGACAAATGGGGTGGAAAAGGTGATTCATTGAATTCTAAAAAATACCAGCAGTTTTGCCCATCATAAACCAGGAAATGTGTAATGCAGGGGAAATTGAAGCAAATCCACCAAGACCTGAAAATAATGAGGATACTCAGGCCACCTTGGAGAATTTCAGCCAAACAGCGTCCGGAGGTGCATTTGTGGTATCACAAGTCCCAAGCCTTCCCTTGCCTGACCTATACCCACCAAGTCAAATCACAGACCTTGATGCCACACCTCATGAGGATGAGATTGTTCTTACATGGACAGCACCAGGAGATGATTTTGATGTTGGAAAAGGTAAGGACGAAGTATCATGTGATTTTGACTTAAGTGAAAAGTGCTAATCGCAAAAACGAGGGAGTAAGAGTGAGTAAGGGGAGAATGGTTTTAAATTGATAGCTTAGCAAAGTATTAAGTCTATAATCTGATATTTTTAAATCAATCGAGTGGCACATTTTAACATTTTATACAGAGAAGGTAGCAGTTTGCAGAGCTTAAGATCAGAATTCAGCTTTTATTAAAAAATGAATAAGGCTTTTGATATGAGTATATGCTTTGCATAACTAGACATTTTTGAGAATAAATAAAAAGAAATAAATATGCTGTGCTCCAGTCTCTAAACTCTTGTAACTTTTTTTCTTAGTTCAACATTATATCATAAGAATAAGTGGAAATATCCTTGATATAAGAGACAGTTTTGATGATGCTCTTCAAGTGAATACTACTGAACTGTCACCAAAGGAGGCCAACTCCAAGGAAATCTTTGCATTTAAACCAGGAAATACATCAGAAGAAAATGCAACCCACATATTTATTGCCATTAAAAGTATAGATAAAAGCAATTTGACATCGAAAGTCTCCAATATTGCACAAGTAGCTTTGTTTATCCCTCAAGCAAATCCTGATGAAAATTATACTACTCCTACTCCTGACAAAAATTATACGACTCCTATTCCTGATAAAAATCATCATTCTGGAGTTAATATTTCTACCCTGGTATTGTCTGTGTTTGGGTCTGTTGCAATTGTTAACATTATTTTAAGTACCACCATTTGAATCTTAACGAGGGAAAAATCTACAAGTAGACCTAGAACAGGGTTTTAAAAAGCAAAACAGGATAAGTAAAAGATATTTCTAGATCTCAAAATTCATCCTGTGTGTGATCATAAACTCATAAAAATAATTTAAAATGTCTAAAATAATTTTAAAGGATACTTGGATTAAATAAAACATCCATGGATATGTAAAGAACTGTGTCAAAATTTAAATTTAACAATTTTATTTATTTGTTATTTTATTTGTAAGAAATAGAGATGAACAAAAGCCTTTTTCATACTGATTCCTGGTTGTATATTATTTGATACAACAGTTTTCTGTAATGATATTTCAAATTTCATCAAGAAATGTAAATTATCTATTTGAGTAGCCAAAATACAAGTAAAGGAAAGCAAATAAACACTTGGGGAAAAATAAATATTGTATTGGTACTTATTAAGAATAAATTGATGATACTCTATTTATCCAAAGCCTCTAGCTATACCCTACAATTGCCAAGGTTGTGTTTACTACAATTCATGGCTAAGGAGGTTAACATGAAAAAAAAATTGATTACCACCTGTCAAACTGTAATTTTTCTTGATTTTATTTCAATATAAACATATATCTATCTCTTTTCATTTAAAAAGCCATGCCTATCTGCATACTTTTTGTTTTACTATAGGAAAGAACTCCTGAAGCTACTATCTATTGCCCTTGTTTTCAGATAAAGAAAACTAAATTGTTTTCTTTCTTTTTTAAGACAGTCTCACTCTGTCACCAGGCTGGAGTGCAATGGCACAATCTCAGCTCTGCCTCCCAGAGTTCAAGCAACCCTCCTGCTACCTCTGCCTCCTGGGTTCAAGCGATTCTCCTGTCTCAGCCTCCCAAGTAGCTGGGATTACAGGCGCACACCACCATGCCCAGCTAGTTTTTGTTTTTTTAGTAGAGACAGGGTTTCACCTTGTTGGTCAGGATGGTCTTGATCTCTTGACCTTCTGATCCGCCTGCCTCGGCCTCCCAAAGTGCTGAGATTACAGACATGAGCCACTGCACCCAGACTCAAAACTAAATATTTTCAAAACATAATATTTTCATTCATCTCTCAGGGTCACAACCATATTGACTAATGAGATCTCTTAAACAGAAAATGTAGGTTGAAAGGAGCAGTTTTATATGGCAGACCATAGCCAGTTCTGCCAGAGGCCCTACTGATGTAAACAAAATGGAACACGGAGCATGTAACAATGGTGTAAGATGGTGCAGAATGAATTCCACTCATCGAAGGAGGTAGATGTTAAGTCCAAGTTTACAAGCATATGTTTTTCTTATTCTTCCAATGGGTGGTTTTTTCATTTTGAACAGGAATTTTTATGATTATAACTCAGCATCTGGCGGAATTAGAGAGGACCTAAAGAACAGCATCCACACATCTGTCTTATCTCATGTAGCATTGGTAGGAATTCTTGGCTATTTGGAAGTAAACAAAAATGAAAGCCATATAAGCTGAGTCCAGGGGTCCCTTTTAACAATCTTCAAATATAGATCTTGACCTGGCATAATGAATTTGATGTGATTAGCTGGGCTGACAAAAAGGGCCTTGTAGTTTAAATTGGAAGTGGTAATGGAGCAAGGGAAGAAGTAAGTAGGAGACTCCTGACTCTAGGAAAGTTTGACTTCCTCTCAGAGCATGTAGAAGAAAATGTGCAGAGGAAAATGAGCTGCACACTAGGGCATTTGGTGACTAAGCTGTTGAGGCAAAAGGTCTACTGGCACTGTTAGATCCTCTAACAGACTGGCATCTGTTCAACCAGTGCTAATGGCTAGGGATATACAGGAGAAAATGCAGGAAAACTATTAAGTGTAGAACACCTGGCCTTTTACCAAGAAGGGAGTGAAGGCCTGAAATTCTATATTGGCACCAGAAATAATATATAACAGTCAGATTTTCTTCATGTCCTTTCCACCCATTCATCCCATTACTCTGAAGGCAAAGCCTACCAGCCTGGTTATTTACCTCTGATGTTCAAGTGCAACAGCTAGGCTGAGGTGGGTCCCAGTAGTACTCTCCCATCCCAGGTCAGGCTTTGATTTTGTCTATTTCCGGGTCTGAATCAAGTAGTTAATTATGAATTCTTAAGAATCAGAAAGATAACTAAATGGTTACCATTGTTGTAGTCAGTACAGGCTACATAATTTATGCTGCTCACTTCAAAATGAAAATAAGAGGCCTTTGCTTTAAAATTAGTAAGACTTCCAAGCACCAACAGCAAAACATTAAACCAAGTTTAGGCCCTTCTAAGCACAGAGCTCCAAGCAACTGTACAGATGGCATGTACACAAAACCATCCCTGGCTGTACTCCAGGATAAACTAGTGATTGTACCTACAGCATGGAGTCTGTGTGGGCTGTCCATTACAACCGCCTAGGAGCATTCATGGTCTAATACTTGATTTAGTTAATCATGAAGAAGTACCACATCTGGGAAGGTAAATTTAGGCTCATCACCTCTCACAGGGAATCTGGCAACAGAAAATAAATCTAAGCTATTCCATTAAGAAAGATAGGCAGCCCTGTGTGGGAGAGGACCAATCCTGTGCCGACCTCAGAGACCCGAACATCTCCAGGCTTCCTGAATAGAAAAAAACCTGTATCACCAGATATCCAAGTCAGTGATACTCCTGGAGGTGGGCAGTCTACAGTGTCACAAACTAAACACCTACCCCCAGGGTCTCCCCAAGCTCTAGCACAGAGAGATGGTTCACATTCACAGTTGGAACTGCTCAGCTAGGACTGAGAGAACTGCCTTTGAATGCTTCTATTTATACCACTGAGATGACTGCTGTCACATGTCAGAGTACCCCAGAAGAGCATGTGTAAGTATGGGGACCCAAACCACAGTGCCTGATGAACATTCACACAAGTATAAAATGGGACTAAGAGGAGTTCAACTCAAAGCAACACTGAAGTAATCCAGGCCTATTGGAGCCAAAAGAAAAGTATGGTAGCTAGTTCCCAAAATAGTTTTCAAAGATCCACAATTCCAATTATTTGTAGTCTTAGATAGAGCTGCATGAATGATGTGCCTTAATTAGCATAATACAGCAAAAATGATAGATGTGTCCATTTTAGTGTTCTTGGGAACCCTGACCTACCATGTTAAAATACAGCTATGCTAATAAAGAGAGCACTGGAGAGGTTCCAAGAATACATGGAGAAGAAAACAAGACTAACTAACTCTCCCTGTTTCCCAACCTCTAGATGATTCCATTTACAGTCACCAAACTCTAAGCCTAACCAGCAAAAGAACCTCCCATTTAAAAGCCCAGATAATCAACAGAATCGTGGAAAAAAGAAAATGATTGATGTTTTCAGCCACCAAGTTTTGGGATGGTTTGGTCCACAGTGCTAGATTACCAAAATAACCAATAACTTTATTGGTCAGGGTACTGTCAGGGAAACAGGCCACTATAAGTATTACAGAGTAGGGAATTTATTTATTATAAGAATTAGGCTGAGGAAGTAAAGCACTGAAGAAAGGAAATGGAAGATAGGAAAAAAAAATCTAACAAGCCTATCTGAAATGCTGAGGTTTGTGTTGGCTGTTTAATGTCGGGATCCAGGCATGTCCAGGAACTGGAATGGGACCATGAAAAGAGCCACTGTAGAAGTCTGTGGAAGACTGTTACCTGTGCATAACAAAATCTCTGTGGGTTTGTTGCCAAGAGTCTTGTGGTGGGCCTAGGATCACTGTCAGTCAGCGATGTCAGCATTCAGAAAGAAGAGTGAGAAATGGAGTAGAGAGGAGCACAGATGCCGGCCCATCTGAACCTGTTTCCTACTGCCTCTTCTCATTTCTCCTGCAAACAGTTATGGCTGCTGTTTTACTTCTGCCTTCCACATTTTGTACGAATCATTTTTAACCAACTCTAACCCAGATCCATATGGTTCCTGAGAGATGTAGTTTCAGTTTATTCAACTTGCCTCAGCAAAGCCACACATTAAGTGAAATAAGCCAGACATGAGAAGACCATATATTCTCACTTATATGTGGAATCCAAAAGCATTGTACACACAGAAGCAGAGAGTAGAATGGGGGTTACCAGAGGCTAAGGTAGGAGGAAGAAATAAGTTTAAGAGGTCTACTGTACATCATGGTGATTATAGTTATAGCAATATACTATATAATTGAAACTCACAAAAGTAATAGATTTTAACTAAGAAAAAAAATAATTTGATGAGCTAATGCACATATTAAATAGCTTGATTTATCTATTCCACAATGTATACATATACAGACTTACCGTGTTTTTCTGGATTTCACTTTATTGTGCTTCACAGATACTGTGTTTTTTACAAACTGACAATAACAGTACTAACGGAATTGGGCTCTGATATTGGTAATTGCTACGTAGTGAAATAGAGGAACTCAACAGAACAGTTTGTTACAGCAACTCAAAAAATCGTTTTTTCATGTTTATATCCTAGTGAATTGAGACTGTTCAATAAACCGGTTTCACAGCAATGATACTCAATATCATCACTGCAAAAACTTTGTAAGTTTTTGAAAAACAAAAAACAATGACAAACCCACTGCTATACAGACCTACTTGCTAGGCACCAAATTCCTAATTTGCTTTCCACTTCCTTCCCTCTTATACAGAACACTTTTGTTCACCTTACCATCAACCATTCTCCTTCTTTCCAGCAAATGTCTAGTCATTTCCTACACTGAACTTCTTGGCAAGTCCTTGTCTTTCTCCCCAATCATGTTCCTCTTACCATCACCCTCTACTTTCCTGGTGCCCAGCATTACCTGCCCACTGGTACCTTAGATATGCCTGATTTCTCTAGTTCTGTCTTTTCCTTTCACATAACCATGAATCTCATCTAGGGCTACCATATTACAGAACTTTAAGGGAATCCATGCAAATCATACTTTCCACAAACGGTGCCCCTGGAGTTTCCCAAAGCACAGTCTCCACATCCTCATGTGGTAGTCTTACTCTTAGACCTGACACATGAAAAAATAAGTATTCTTCATAAATGTCTATATTGTTCCATGAAACAGGAAGTCATCTTAAAGCCTTAGCATCTGTAATAGCATTTTAGTAAATATATCTGTTCAGATAATATTTGTTGATAATTAATTATTTGATTTACAATCCCAATACCCTGTTTTCTTTAATAATCTATGTGATGATTAGCAAATTTGTTCCTGATGCATTTAACCCCATGAAGAATGTAAGCAAAGTGCTACATATTTTATGTCCTACTGTCTGTCATCATGTGGTGATTAGGAAATAGGAAGTTGCTTTAGAGTCATATGGAAAAGACTGAACAGTAAGTGTTTGGTGACAAGAAAGTAGAACCATCACTTAATATTTTGAAGTTCTATCTGGACGTGGAACTAAAAACAGTTA